GGGGTTATGATTGACTTTGCCACAATATTGCAACCCTGCAAATGGATCACTAGAGGTTGGACCTTGCAGGAGCTTATCGCACCAAGAATACTCATATTCTACGATGAAAACTTCACTTGCATCAAGACCTGGGGAATGTGGGAGGGATTAGCGAGAGCTACCGGAGTCTCAGAATACGTATTGAGGACCGGGGATTTGAGCCGGTCGTCTGTCGCTCAAAAGATGTCATGGGCGGCTACTCGCAAGACGACTCGAATCGAAGACCGGGCGTACAGTTTGATGGGATTGTTCGGAATCCAGATTCCCATGTTGTATGGGGAGGGCGAAAATGCGTTCAGTCGGTTGCAAGAAGAAATCATCAGATCGACTCCTGACGACTCGATCTTTGCCTGGAGAGCGGCCTGGGGATCGACTTCTAGCTATTCCGGGTTGCTAGCAAAGTCGCCAGATGTGTTCGAACAATCGAAAGGCGTTGATCGAGGCCGCAGCACGTTTGCCATGTCAAACTTAGGTCTGAAGATCGAGGCGCTCTTATCTCATCAATACGTCAGTAAAAATCCTATCCGCTTCCTTGTACTAGATGCACGCCAAAATGGGAGAGCAATCGGTCTACTTGTACAAAAGCTAGGGTCCACCTTCTATGCTAGAGTTGCGCCAAACATACTCTACGATGCAGATGAGTCAGTGCTGACGCGCCAGACTCTTCATTTCGAACGTATGCTCCGAATTCCAAGGCAGTTCAGGAGCCCTGCGATGCATTGTGTCCACTTCGAGTTCGATAATTCAAAATATCACATACTAAGCGTACAACCGCGAGAACTATGGACCCCAGATCGCAAAGAGCTCCGGATCAGATCAGCGTGCATGTCTGGTAGATACGATCCCAACTTCCTTGACAGCTTTTTTGGCATGGTTTGGTTGCGCTGCATCAGACCTGGCAGTGCGCGTCCGTTCTCAATATTCGTTGCACATGATCAGATAACCGGACGACTCTCGGCTAAGCTGTTGAATTTCGAACTCACACCGCATGAGACGGAGTGGCATAATGCAATCCAAGATACCGAGGTCTCTAGAAGTTATGAAGAGGGTAAAACCGCAGAAACATCGCATGAGCTGCAACTTCCTTGGGGAGTTCTTGTCGAGATCGACATTCGCGCGGGCTTGCGACGAGGCTTGATTTCAAACATTGTCCGTATATTCTGAAATAGAAACTCACTTCACAGCTGGTTGGCTCGTTGCGAATCTCTTTACCCTTATCGTGCTCATATGTCCGGCTATTCGGCGATCCTGGTCAGCAATATGGATGTCCAATTCAGCCAGCGTATCTGCCGTAACCGGCTGCCATTGGTCCGAACACAGTATCCCAAGAATCTGGATGGCATACGTTGAGAAGACCGCTTCATATGCAATCTGGCGTGTTATTTGGAGATCGTGGCCGGAGACGCGGATGATGCCACCACCCGCTGTCAGGTACAATACGTGCAGTCTAATGCGGTCATGACGCAACTCATCCTGGCTTCTAGAAGACCGTCTCAATTCCGGAAGGCCTCATAATACCAGCTTCCTGATTCTCCATAGCCATCGCTCACGATACCGCTTCGATATGTCCATACTCCTGCCGCTTTACGTGTACCCAAGCGTGGGCGCTTGGGAACCGCTATACACAGCGTAAGCGTATCCACCTCGAGTGCTGTTACATATTGACAAAACCCTAGAGCAAAGGCGCATAGGAACGTAGACTTTAACGTCATCATCAACCCATGCTCCGGCCCTTGTATGGGATCACTCCCCGATCAAGTATACCTCGACGAAGTTCCCAAACTACGAGCCTACCCAAACATTCGCACATTAGGATACGTCGCAACAGACTACGCAGACAAGCCTATCGAAAGCTTATTGGCAGAAATCGACACCTACGCGCGTTGGCCCAAAGTGACAAACATTACCAAGATGCGCGTTGATGGAATCTTCTTGGACGAGACACCAAGTACTTTCGATGAAGACGATTATGAGTACTTGAAGACAGCAAATCAAGCGATCAAGAACAACACAGCATTCAGCGACCGCTTCATAGCTCACAACCCCGGTCTAATACCCACGTCCATCCTCACCTCGCCTACGGTGCTCCAAGAATCCTACCTCAACCTTACGGATCTCACCGTCGTATTCGAAGAGACATTTGACAAATGGCTGGATAGAGACGTTATGGTGCCATTGCAAGCACACAAGATTCGGCGTTCGAAGCTGGCTGTCATACTGCATTCTTTGCCGAATCTGACTGAAGAGGTGCTGGAGTTTATGGTGCAGCAGGTAGAGAACACGGCGGATTGGGTCTTCTTGACAGATAGTGCGGACGACTATTATCACACCTTTAGCGCGATGTTTGGGAATCTGGTGAAGGCGGTCGATGGGAGTAGTTGAGTGGAGTAGAGTAACTCATATTCACGACGCCAGGAATGGCGGGAATTCGTGTCACCTTTCACTTTGCTGTATACACGCATCCAAAATGTAAAGAAAGAAGCAGCTTCTAAGACTACGTATACTTCTGCATCGACGTCCCTCAAAACGTTTCTTACATCAGCTAGACTATGTCTCTTGTTGCAATCACGGAGAGGTTGATTCGTTCATGGCTTCGTGGCAAGATTGTTCTGCGGAGCCGCTCCGTTCTGCGCCTGCCTTCAGGGAGGAAGCGGAAGCGGAAGCGGAAGTCTCAGGGCATTTTGACTTTAGGGTTGAATGCAAGCTGCAGCACGGTGCTGATGCAAAAGTATGGCTACTCGTGAATGAGATACACAGCCAGAATACGCTCACAAGGCGTGCGGCAGGTCACACGTACTGTCGAACCCTCTTCCACCGACGCCGCTGCTTGGGCGGTGGTGGTTTCCGTCGGGAACGGTTTGTAATGCAGGAGTTACTTTGGTGCTCGGGTTAGCCGCCTTCCTGTTGCGATGGTTGTAGAGGTAAGGTTGGGCGAATCGGAGTGGTGGGGTTTCCGCGTTGGCAGCAGCCTCGCCCGCCGTAGTCGCCTATCTTCGGCTTGCTTCACGCCTTGCGCCCTTCCTCCCAACATGCCGCCGCAATGCCGCCACCGCGTTTATATCCCCTCACTCGCCTCTGCAGTACGTGGTCCCGTCCACAGACTGTGCGATTGACCTCACCTCCAGCCAGCAAAGACCCTGAGAGCGGCTGATCGAGCCTTCACCGCACCCCTCGTCCACCCCGCGTTGCACCCCCTGCGCCAGCTACACCCGTCACGGCCATACTCAGCCATGTCAGAGCTCTCCCAGTACACTGCTAAGAGCAGCAAAAGCACAACCAATGGCACAAGCCACAATGGCAATGCCTGGGGCGGCGAGCACAACCCAGCGGCGTTTGACTTCCGCTCCGATGTGCACACTACACCGACCATGTCGATGCTGAAAGCCATCCAGCAGTGCACCCTGCTCGACGACGTCACCATGGAAGACCCGACCACACTTTCGCTCGAGCGATTCGTGGCCGATCTCAGCGGGAAGGAGGAGGCACTCCTTGTGCTCTCCGGCACCATGGGCAACCAGGTAGCATTCCGAGCACACCTTACCACCCCTCCACATGCCGTCATCGTCGACCGACGTGGCCATATCATCAACTACGAGGCGGGCGGTGTAGCGACACTGAGCCAGGCCATGGTGCAACCGCTAGATGCGAAGAACGGGACATACCTCACACTGGAAGATATCCAAAAGTACGCTGTCATCTCTGATGACGTCCATGCCTGCCCTACGCGCCTCATATCGCTCGAAAACACGCTCAATGGCGCGATTATGCCTCTGTCCGAGGTCAAGCGCATATCAGCTTGGGCGCGCGAGCACGACATCATAATGCACTTGGACGGTGCGCGTCTGTGGGAAGCTGTAGCTGCAGGTGCCGGTTCTCTCAAGGACTACTGCGCCGAGTTCGATAGCATAAGCCTGTGCATAAGCAAGGGCCTCGGCGCGCCGATTGGTAGCATCCTCGTTGGTACGAAGGAGTTCATCAAGCGGAGCCGCTGGATCCGCAAGTCCATTGGTGGAGGTTTGCGACAAGCTGGTGTTGTTGCGGCTCCGATGCGCGTTGCCATTGAGGAGACTTTCCTCGGCGGCAAGCTCACTCAATCTCACGAGAACGCGAAGAAGATTGCGAGCATTTGGACAGATCTTGGAGGCAAGCTGCAATACCCCGTAGACACCAACATGGTTTGGCTAGATCTGGACGCGCATCATGTTGACATCAACAACTTCATCGAGCTAGCGGAGAAGTACGGCGTAAGGGTGCGCGGTGGTCGATTTGTTGTGCATTACCAGATTGGCGAGGAAGCCATCGAAGCGCTGCGAAAGGTATTCACCGAAGTGTTGACTGGTAAGGAATCGGCAGGGAAGAAAGCCGAAGCCCCGCATGACCCCGAAGACCTTAAGATGAAGGGAAAGGGCGTGGAGTAGATGCAGCAGCCACAGCATGAAATTAGTCGGTAAATGAATAAACCTTGGAACGAATCAAACCAGTGCGCTCAGCCACGCAGCCACATGAATCTTCAGTACCTGCATGTCTAGCGTGGTAGCGTCTGTCATGTTCCGAATTCGCCGGGACATCGGAATCCACCAGAGCTTCCAAGACCTCGCTATTACGTTAAACTTTCAACTTTAGGCCAAAGACTCTGTCCACCGCTACCCGACGTCAGAGCGAACTCGTCATCGAACCCTCAAACACGACATTGCCAAGATGGAGGCCGAAGAATACTACATGAGACTGCTCTGGACGGCGCGGCGGCCCTGGGTATTCGCATTTGACTCCTCGGACTTGCTCTGATTATGTACAAACCTGCACGCGTCGTCACCTCTGGGCAAAACTTTCTACGACAGACGTCACTTCTCGCAAAAAGAGCTGCTGGACCCTGTGTACATAGACCTACGGCCTGCAGACCTGGCAACTCACACAACTTTCTTGTCTCCACACCACGCCAATTCCACACGACGACAGCAAACATGGTACCACCGATTGCACAAAACCGGACACTCCTGTCCAATCATCCGGATAAAGTCCGCATGCTTGTGCTTGAGACTGATGAGACACATCCCGATACGCAAAAAGAGACAGGATCCTTTGGGGTCGTTTTGGGCCAACTGCTCAAGAAAGCCGGAGACTCGCACAAGCCCAGTCTAGGTATCGAGACTGCCATGCAATATGTGGTCGAACCGGAAGGTGGCGCCATACCAAAATTGGAGGAGATTGGTGACGATGTCCATGCTATTCTTATCACGGGTAGCTGCTGGGACGCACACGGTAACGACCCTTGGATCCTCAAGCTCATGCAGTTCATCAAAGGTACGTGTCTCAGATTAGTCTTGATATGAGGGAAATAGCAGTAGCTAAATACATAACAGACGTGTGGCAACATCGCCCCGATATCCGTTTCACAGGAATTTGTTTCGGACATCAAATCCTTTGCAGGACTCTCGGCGCAACCGTCAAACCCCAGAAGGACGGTGAATGGGAACTTTCCCATCAGCCTATCCAATTATCCGAACTTGGCCGCAACCTCTTCAACCTGCCCGAGACGGAATCCAAGATCCATCTTCACCAAATGCATCTCGACCACGTCGTCAATCCTCCGTCTACTGAGACGACCGATCTGATACCGAAGAACACCAAGGTACATGTCTGGGGTACCAGCGATCATACCGGCGTACAGGGCGTGTACATTCACAAGAGGCTGTTTACCACGCAAGGCCATATGGAGTTTGATGAGGCTCTTGTTAAGAGACAGCTGGAGATGAGGGTCGAGAGTGGAAGTGTCAGCAAAGAGAATGCAAACGAAGCCGCTGAGAGAGCGGATTGGACGCATGATGGCCTTCTCGTTGCGCAGGCAGTCTTGAGATTCTTCCACGGTGACGACGACATATACACGTAGTAACCATCTTCGGGCTAGGTTCCAAGCGAGTCCTCTACGACCTCACGAGAAAGAGCATGTTATTGGCGTTAAGTGAAGTGGAAACTTCAAAAAATCATGGGATTAGGAGCAGGTGGTATGTACTGAATACTGTTATAAATGTTTGTTCATTGTTGAGAGCGTACTTTGCGTGGTTGTAGTGACGTACGCCGCTTCGGCTTTGAAGCGCTCAGTAGGACCGTCTGCAACGTCTTAGAGGGCAAAACGCACCAGTCGAATGAAGTAATTTACGACCACACAGGGCCTCGTTGCAAAAGCTTGTCTCAACCTCGACCGAAGTCGATCCTGTTAGAGCAGGCTAAACATCGGGTGGGTGATGCCCTTCGGCATTAAAACGCCCGATGGCGCGCGGATAAGAGGTTCCGATATCTTATACCCGGATGCGACCCGGTCACCAACCCACCTGCCTCTTTCAAGGCGTCTGCGAGTGCGTCATCGCTCCACAGAGGCGTACCGTAGGGACAGAGATACAGCAGCAACGCATTCGTACCCCAGCTGTCTACATCGGGTGCCATTCGATACTCACACCCTGCACAATGGTCGGTCAACATCGGCCGGCTGCTCCCCGGCGTGCATACAGCACTTCGTTCACACGCATCCAAACCCTGGAATTAAGAATGTTGCGGAGCGAGATTCAACGGGGCACGGCATGCTCTCCACGTCCCGGCGCTAGCGTCATGTTCGACAGGCGACCAGACGGATTAAGGGTGGGCACATCCCCATGACCTGGGTCGATAACCCTTCCAGCCTCGCCTTCCTTAGACCTCGAAACAATTCCCACGCCACTCTGCACTGGCAGCTTGTTGAGGCATCTGCTAGCGTTAACATACCACTCAAACTCACACCGCCCCTCATGCTAAGATCATAAAAGCATCGCCATGGCCACCCCCAAAGATACAGCAAGCGACGATAACCTGGATGTAGCTAGTGACAAAGAGAGAAGGAGCCAGGAGGTGGATATCGAAAGAGATGGACTGCAAGACGACCTGGAACGACAGGCCTCTGAGCCTCCCTACTCCGTCTTCAGTAAAGGCATGAAGACATGGATTATCTTCTTAGTGTCTATTTCAGCTCTGATATCGCCGTTTGGCGCGTCCATGTTCCTTCCGGCGCTTAATGTGCTCTCCAACGTCCTGGATATTACACCTACGCAGGTCAATATTTCAATTACAACGTACATGGTATGTCAAAACATTCCTTCTTCACATTCAACGAGATAGGGAACGCTTTTGTTATCCCGAAGGCCTCCCACAACCCAGCTACCGCTGACGCTGTACACTCAGTCGATGATCTTGACCGCCACTGACTATCATAGATCGCACAAGCTATTGCTCCCGCTTTCCTTGGGACTCTATCGGACAACAGCGGGCGGAGGTTGACCTTCATCATATGCTTCATCATCTATAGCATCGGCAACATTGGCCTCGCACTTCAAACAAACTACATCGCCCTTCTAATCCTGCGCATGGTACAAGCCGTTGGTGGCACGGCTGCTATTGCGTTGACAATGGCGGTTGTCGCGGATATCTCCACGTCGGCTGAGCGAGGCACCTACATGGGTTACGCACAAGCCGGTGTATTGATGGGTCCTGCTTTCGGTCCGACGATAGGCGGTCTGCTGGCGCAGTACCTGGGCTGGCGATCCATCTTCTGGTTCCTTGCCATCTTCTCTGGCGTGCTGCTCGTGTTGTTCGTGTTCTTGTTCCCTGAGACTTGCCGGAAAGTCGTTGGCAATGGCTCTATTCCTCCTCAGGGTGTCAATCGCTCAGTCATCAGTTGCATACAAGCTCGCAAGCTTGCAAAGCTGTCACCTGACGAGGTCACCCCTAAGCCCGAGAAGAAAAAGGTCGCCTGGCCGAACCCGCTTGCGACGTTCCGAATTTTAGCCGAGAAGGAGTCTGGGATTCTTTTACTCTATAATGGGCTCTTCTTCACCGGTATGATGGTCACTGTCTCCGCCATCCCAGAACTATTCTATGCCGCGTATGGCCTCAACGAATTGCATGTCGGCCTTTGCTACATCTCTAATGGTGTAGCTTCCCTTATCGCCTCGCTCACCATGGGTCGAGTTGTCGACTGGAACTTCCGCCGCTATGCCAAAGCTGTTGGTATGACCATCTCCAAGGGCAAACAACAAGATCTCAGCAACTTCCCCATCGAGCGTGTTCGCCTGCAGATCTTAATTCCGTGCCACATCATTGGCATGTTTGGACTCATCATCTTTGGATGGACTCTCAAATTCAGAACACACATTGCGGGTCCTGAAGTCGCTCTGTTCATCATGGGCTTTGGCGTCACTGGTGCTTTCAACATTACCAATGGCTTGCTCATTGACCTTCACCGCGATAAACCCGCTGCGGCAACTGCGGCAGTCAACTTCGCCAGGTGTCTCATGAGTGCTGGCGGTACTGCGGCGATTATTCCCATGTGTCATGCTATGAACCCGGGGTGGGCGTTTACATTCATAGCGCTGATCATGGCGGTGTTGCTAGGTGTTGTGTTTTGGGTTATGAAGGACGGAATGAAATGGAGACAAGAGCTGGCGGAGAAGAGGAGGCTCAAAAGCGAGGAACAAGAGAAAAGGGCAAGACAGGAGGAGAATATGACGTGAAATGGCTAATGTAATTTATCAATCTTCTCCTTGGTATTCCTCTTGGAATGCTATACGGCTGGATGATGGCAGGAGTAGTCGACTCATAATTCTGGTTATTCGTCGACCACTCTTGCCATCATCCAGCCGTATAGCATTCTAGCTACATCGCCGTACTTTTCCCTTCCAGAATCACGCATGTGTTCGTCCCACGCTACCAGAAAGTCTTGCTTGTTCGCCTTCTCCAACATGTAGTCTGCTTTCGCTTGCAAAATTGTATCTACTTCAGGTACTATCTCACGCAGTGGATTTATATCGTCACTGTTTGGAAGCATACCATCCCAGCGATAGCCCAGTTCCACGCAGTATGGTTTCAACGCATGCACGTGCGCAACGTGTGGCGGTTCGCGGTCTTCGCGTGCTACTGCCAACGAGGCGGGCATCATCTGCCAGAGAGCTGGGTTCATCGACTCGAGACAGTGATTCCGTTCTTCAGTCATCTCAGTGTCTGGGTTATTGCCGAATACCAAGCGTCGATCTCGCCACGCAAGGCCAGGCCACAAGGGATGAATGACAAAAGGGCAGCCGAGCTTCTTTGCTATCGGAATACCGAGGACTACTCGTCCTGGGCCTGGGATCGGACTAGGCACGAAGTTGTCGTCTCGACTGTTGTTGATGAAGATTGCAAAACCCATATACCTGCAAGCATCAGAGTGTTTGATTAAACAAATACGAATTTCCGGCTTGTGATGGAACAGCGTGAAGTCAAGACAGGCGTTCTCCTCACGCGCACATAATTTTAACACTCTTTATCGAATAACGTGACGAGAATGATCACTTGAAGGTCTGTTCAACCGAAACGTTGGTGGCAGCGCGACTCATCCTCATCAAAATCATTCATTTCAGCTGCCATCTCATCATCTCAAACCGTCCTCAAGACCTTCACCCCCGTCATCTCAGCGATATCATATATCGCGTCAACTACCCGATCAACGTCCATGCTCTTGAGCGGTATCCGATGTGCACCTTCCCATTCCACCAATGTCACCGTACAGTCTTCACAATACTCGTGTAGTAATTTCCGATGAAGGTGTAGTCCTGGATCCGCCATGCCGTGGACATGCAGTGTGGGTTTATGCAGTGTAGCCTCCTCGTCCACCTCTCTGCAGAATTGAAACCCTTCCGATATGTCACCCGCACTCACAAGAGCCTCACTCTTCATGAGCTCAGGGTTCAAATTGCTCAGAGGCGCCCGACCAGCCAGTAGTATTCCGAACCTCCACCTTATGCCCGAGATTCCTGTGATACCGGTAGCGATCTTCGTGCCTTCTTTGCGCGCCTGTGTTTCCCTCGCTTGTTGTTCGAGAAGTAGGCTTGCGGATAGCTTCGCCCCTTGACTGAAGCCCATCAAGCCTACCCACTCGCCTGTGCCGCCTTCCCGATCGTCATCCTCCATTGCTGTGCGCATCGCGTATCCGATCTCTTCAATACATGTGTCCGCATCGATCTCAGGGTGTTCGGGAAGCCATCGTAGCCAGCGTCGGAAAGGCGCGTAGTCGCTGTACACGCCGATGATGTCTGAGTGCGGATCGCAGAAAAAAGGGCCGTCGGCCCATACGAGGCGGAAGGAGTGTTGAAGGTGGCGGATGAGAGATCGCGATTGCGCTTTGAATATAGCGGCGTTGACACCGCCGCCGTGTAGGCAGAGAATTCGAGGGAGAGACCTCGTGTCGGGCTTCGTTGGCGGTATTTTGGAAACTGGCTGTGAGTATGTTGAGGGCATGTTCGCTGTTATCTGTTCTTTTTACTTGACGTGTTCGCGATCAATCGATAATCGGCCGAGCCGGAGTCTTGAAGAGTAATGGTTAGAGATTAGTACCGTGAACTGATCAAAATCTAACGTGGGGGCGAGCAGGTCATGCTTCAACAAGGCTGACACCCAGATAAAGCAGTTTTGGCGGCATGCGACTGACTTGCCGTGCTTAGGGGTCGGAGTCCGAAGTGTGGTTGAAGACGTCCCACCGCTGCCCCTGCATACAGTCATGCTACTAGAGGTGAGACACATATGGTGTGCAGTGCTCTCCAGAGCCTGTGAATGTCCAGACTAGAGTTTCTCCTAAGAATCAATGATCTATGATGAAAAAAGAGTGTTGCGGTGAGGTGGAATGGGCAGCGACGGGCGGGGAACCGTATCGGAACAACAACGCGCTAGACGCTCATCATAGAATTCGCGATCGATCTTGCTCCATGTCAACGCATCGATTACACGTTTCTGGCGCCAACGCTCACCTATTGGAATGATCGCTTTTCTCGTGTAGAGTGTCCTTCGAATGAGCGTTGCGGAAGGCATGATAGTAACGTTCTCCATCTGACTTGACGAGCAGAGTGTGACTGCAGTGAGGTACCAAAACGCGCTACCAGTGTTTCGAAAACGTCTTGAAACATCGTTTTACTTTTTCAGACAGAATAGAACCCAAACCATAAAAGTGGTAAGATTATGTCAGGCCTATCAACGACCCAAGGTAAGGCCAAACAAGCCAAAAGTTGTCTAGAGTTGTGGGCAGAATGAAAGAAGTTTAAGATTTGAGAAGACTACCGAACAGTCCACTTTCAATCCAACGCTCTACTTGCACCGACGAGAATAACCACGACATCGGTCAAGGTGAGTACAGAACCGGTACCCCCTTGGCATATCTGCTTGCGTAACTGCCATCATCATTATTGCCTCCCAGATGCGCCTTTCGCGTGTTCGGCTGCAAGATCCCTGGTATTCCGTAGGTTTGATCACCTGTTCAGATTCCCCTGGTGCTCCTAATATTTACATTCCCTTCGTTTCGTCGAGTTCGCGTGTTCAAATCCTTACTTAAATGAGGTGGTTGCAACTCTCTAAGCTGCCGTCTTGGGGGCACCTGCGGCGTGCTGGGAGAGGAAATCGGGATCGTTCTCGAACTCTTCCTTGACCTGCAAGTTGTTAGCGTCTGTGCACACACAAAGTTACTCATGATGATGGACTTACAATATCAAGACCGCCTACTAGCTCACCATCCGCCCACAGTTGTGGGAAAGTTGGCCAGTCGGCGAACTCCTTCAGTCCTTGGCGAACCTCGTCGTCGGCCAAGATGTTGAAGAAGCCGTACCTTATGCCCTTCTCACGCAGGATCGCCACTGTCTGCCGACTGAAGCCACACTGCGGCGAGCTTGGTGTGCCCTTCATAAACAGCATAACTGGCGCTGCCTTAACCAATTCGCCTAGCCTCCTGTGTAGTTCATCCTTGTTTGTCTGTTGTTCGCCTTCTCGGTGCTCACCCGCACTGTAGTCGGGTGCGGTCTTGGGGTCCTGGGAGCCAGGCGCGTACCCAGCGAGGTTCTTGCCTGTGCTATCCCCGTTCTCCTGTGGTCGTGTGACGGTTTGCGCGGGTGGTAGACTCGAGGATTGGCCGCTGCCGGCGCCGGCGTATTTCTCGACTGCGGCTCGTACTTTGGATGCATCTGAGCCCGACACTGTCTCCAGGGTCTTGCCGTCTTTCTGTAGAACGATGTATGGGACCGCTGTGACGTCGTATTGTTCAGAGACCTCGGGCAGCTCTTCGGCGTTGAGGGAGAGGAACTTTATCGGCGCATCGGCGGAGTATGTGCTGGCCAGCGTCTTCAGGATGACGCCCATCTGCTCGCATGGCTTGGCCCATGGCGCGTGGAAGTAGATGATGGCGAGCGTGGAAGGTGGAAGCGCGGACACGGTCGACTGGAAGGCCGACTCGTCGGGCATCTCCTGCATGGTAGCCATGATGCTAATCGTATATCGGGGGAGGGGCGGTCGATCGAGTGTAGCGGACGTGTAGTTGGCTGGCTGGTCTATGGGCGTGGTGTCGTCGTGAGTGTGGAATGTATGCGGCAAGAGTGTAGGCAAGCAGTCTGGAATGATGGTATGATCTGATTAATATTTAGTTGCCGCCCGAAGCAAAGCGCCTATGAAATCACGTCAGAGGCCGAATTGCGGAATCACCCCGCCATGGCCTGCTTCTCCGTTATCAGATCGGCAAAAAGTGTCTCCGGCGCCGTTGATCCCGGGAACTTTTTTGTTAGCCAAGATTTCGGCATCAGCAACCAACCCAGATAACAACGACAAGATGTTGAAGACGGTGTACGTAAAGATGAATACCGCTTCTGCATGCATGAGCGACTCTAACATAACACTTTAGCAAACCCAAGAATGCCCGCGCCAAGCGCGCAATGGCAAAGCGCGAGCCACAACAGAACGAGAACCCCAAGACGACGCTCTTCGTCTCTGGCCAGAAGACGTCTCAGATTCTCAAGCTCGCCGTCGCCGACCTCTGCACAATCAAGCGACCCTTCATCGAGCGCTTCACCAAGAAGAACGACATCCACCCCTTCGACGATGCGACTTCGCTCGAGTTCTTCTCCCAGAAGAACGACGCCTCGCTCCTCGTCCTCTCTCTACACTCAAAGAAGCGACCACACTGCTTGACACTGGCAAGGACATTCTCATACAAGATGTTGGATATGCTGGAGCTGTACATCAACGCAGAGACTTTCCGGACACTCCAGCAATTCAAGAATAAGAAGCCTTCCATCGGCCTCAAGCCACTAATCAGCTTCCACGGCACCGTCTTCGAAGACCCCAACCAAACCAAATACACACTAGCCAAGAGCCTGTTCATCGACCTGTTCAAGGGCCAAGACGCAACCGAAGTCGACGTCGAAGGCCTCCAATACCTCATCTCCGTCTCCGCCGAAGAACCCACCGACGCGCTCCCCAACCCGCAAATAAAACTCCGCTTCTACCTCCTCCGCACCAAGCGCTCAGGCCAAAAGCTACCGCGCATCGAAGTCGAGGAGATGGGCCCGCGCATGGACTTTACCCTCGGCCGCGAAATGTTCCCTGACCCGGATATGATGAAGCAGGCGCTGAAGAAGCCCAAGGGTGCTGAGCCGCGCACCAAGAAGAACTTTGACACTGATATGATGGGCGACAAGGTAGCCAAGGTACATCTTGGCAAGCAAGACTTTGGCAACCTGCAGACGAGGAAGATGAAGGGTCTCAAGCGAGGAAGGAACGAGGATGACGAGGAGGTTGGTGTTGAGGACACGGCGAGTGAAGGCGAGGAGGAGGAGAAGACGCCCAAGAAGGCCAGAGTATGAAATGTATCAAGACATGAGATGTAACTGCATGGGCGGCGTTAAGGGTGCCTCTGGCGTTCAACTGTTGGGCGAGACTATACCAATCTGCACGTTTGTAGCAAGTCATAGGCGTCTCAAAAGTCAAATCGATTCGAGTGATGTTCAGACTTTATCATCTAATAATGCCCTGTCTACTGTCTAATCATCGTCCGGTTCATCAGCCAGTAACCACTTCGCCCGGCATTTCACAGCCGCGCTTCTGACATCTCTCTTCCCATCATCCAGAGCAGCAATGAGTCTCCTAACGACCTCTCTCCGGTAGCCTAGTATTCTCTCTTCTTTGAACTTCTCTGCAACCAGGTGCAGACATTTCAAAGCTGCTACCCTCACTGCTGGCGGTGGTGGCGTAGCCTTGTTCTCCTTCGTAACGGTAGCGTTGTTCAGAAGACGAGAGATGAGTGCACCAGCATGCTCCTCGAGCACTTCCGGTTTCTCCGTGAGAGTTGAAGTGAGAGTGCCGATTGCAGCCTCCTTCACAACGTCCACGCCCTTGAGGTCCAAAGATTGGAGAAGCAGGGTAACGAGCTGTCCGACTTCCTCGACTACTATCTCAAATGGCATCCATCTCAGTGCTCCGCTCAGTGCGATGAGATAGTTGGGCTTCGTCTGGGCATCTGCTTCTCGGAATGATTTAGTGATGTTCGGTACCAGTAACGCAAAGCTCTTATGCTTATGTAGGCCGAGGATCTGGCAGTGGTTTTCCTTGGTGAGAAGGTCGTCGGGTTGCAATAGAGTTGTGAAACCTTGCGCGACGGTACTGCCATACTTCGGATGTGATAGCAAAGACAAGAGCGTGGGATACAATGTGTTCAGCGCAGGGCTGCTCCGCAATACAATGCCCTTGAGGCACGCGAAGATAATGCGTATCCGTGGCGGATCAAGCTTCTCCGGGTTGAGAAGATCAAGGTCCGCGATGAGAGGGTCCATGCATGTCTTAAGTGCAGCGCTGGTATAGTACTTGTTGATGATGAGAGACATCTGCCGAAGGGATGCTGATCGGACTGGCAGGGATAATGAGGGTTGCTGAGCGTAGTTTGCTAGAGAAGATATCAAAAGTTGTAATTCGCAAGGCAGCGTCGCGTCCCTGCGGAGAGAAGCGAGGAGGTGTGTAGAGACGATCATCGTCTTGTTCGCTTCCACACTGGCATCCAGACTAAAGGGTGGAAGTTCAGTTTGTGGCTTGCCGCGGAATAAGGTGTACAGCTCCGCAGCAACATTATTTTGCTGTTCGGTAGGAAGGTACCTGATGATCAAGTTGCATATGCGGCCGACAAGATCGAGTGTGGTCTCATCGTCAAAAGCCGCTGGATGTGTTTCATCAGAACTTGATGCGCGTTCGATGAGTGGCAACGCGATGTCCTTGTAGTAAGTGGAGCTGTCTGAGCCCTGCGACAGCTTGTTCTCGCCCTTCTTGAGGGCATACAGCATTGCGGAAAGAAGCGCGACGATGTATGTAGAAGAAGCGCTCTGTTGAACTGCCGCGCTGAACTTGTTTTTGAGTCGCAGTATGACGGTGTCGAAGACCTGCTCTTCGCTGGCCAGCTTGGCGAAAGCTTCGAGAACAGTCGAGTAGCTTTTCGACCC